ACGGTATTATGTCTATTTTTTGAATATATTTTTTTTACTGATTTCAGAGAGGAAGGGAGAGGGAGAGAGAGAAACATCAAGGATGAGAGAGACTCACTGATCAGCTGCGTCCTGCACACCCCCTACTGGGGATCAAGCCCGGGACCCTTCAGTCCACAGGCCAATGCTCTATCCACTGAGCCAACCCGGCTAGGGCAAGGGAGAGGGCTTCTTAAGTTCTCTCTTCACTGACGCTTCCCAGGGCTGGACTCTTGAGAACCAGTGGGGACCGCAGGAATCCAAAAATTACAGCCCCGCTGTACAGGCCGCAGCGCACCATCATTCACCCTCCTGGTCCCGGGTCCCGGGGGCTCAGAGACAATGGCTTCTTATTTTCCCGGGATCCACCACGCCGCGGCAGGCAGAGGCCTTCCATGTTGTCACACGGCTCCAGCACGGGCCTCCGGGACGCCCCAGGTTCCCCAGCCAGTGGTCCCGGCTGCCAAAACCCTGCCACGATCCGTTCCTCCCAGAAGTTTTGAAAAAAATGTCAAGGTCATTTCACAAAGCTCGGAAGTGGAATCCAAATCCACTCCCAGGTCCCGCCCTCTTCCCTCTAAAGCTGCTTGTCCTAAAGCTCTTCTGGAGAAGACGACCTATTATACCTTATCAGCTGCTCCCTTGTCTTAAGCCTGTGTCCTGTGGTCATGCAAAAACTCCTGCACCAACAATTACAAACAAGGTGTGTTCCTGATTTCCTGATTCCAATCTGCTTATGCAGGGCGTTACCCAGCCCATCGGAGGTGTTACTCCCTGTCAGCCACTGCTGGGTGCTGCCTCCCACCTCTCTAAGCCTCGGCCCCAGCCCACTTCACAGGCGAGGAAGGACTCTTCCCCGGTCCCTCGGCGAGCACTGGCCCCCCCTGGATGGAGGCTCGGACCAGTGTGGGTTAAGGGCCAGCCGCCCAGCTGCACACTCGCCCCATCGCCCCCCTCCCCCGGCTGGAATTCACCTTCATGAAGGTGAACAGACGCATTTGCCCTCCTTCATTTCCAGTAAGGAGATGACCCGATTGGGTGTGCAATGAACAAAAGGAAAGTGAATTTGGGGCCCTACCATAGGGACCTAAAGAGCTTCGGGTGGGGGTCTGGGTGCCTAAACTGCTTTACTTGAGCCACTTAAAACCTCATCGGATTCAGGAAATGAGCTCCCTGTACCCCGCTACCTCCCACCCCGTCTCCCCCACACGCAAGGAGGAATCTGCAGCCTCGCTCTCACACGCAGCCATTAGAACAGCATCCTTCACGCAGGCTCAGGACATTGACTCCTCGGCCAAATGCTGGTGAAAGGCCACTTGATTAAGGAACGGTCGCTGAGAGGTGCTCTCCAGGGGTGTGGGTGGCAGAGCAGCGTTTCCCAGCGCCCCCACCCCATGCACAGCCCGGTGCTAAGAGCAGAAAGGGCGCTCGCTCCACGGACCTCGTTCACAATCACAGGACCCGCTCTTCCCCCCACACTGCACGCTGTTACTTGGCCCAGGTGACCCGGCACCCGGAAGCCGCTCCCCCATACCTTGCCTGCACCCGCAGATCTGTGGGAGGCCTGCTCAGGCCTGGGGGCTCAGGGCCTGCTCAGTCCTCCACTAGGTGCCAAGGACCAGGCGTTTACTCGGAACCTCCGAGACTCCCATCTGAACAAGGGCCTGGCCTCCTGCCTCCGGAGGGCCTGGGGCCTCTGGGGAAGCCTCTGACGTGGCAAGTGCTAGAGCTAGACTGACGTTAGGGGTTCTAATAGACCTATTATACCTTATCAGCTGCTCCCGTCTTAAGCGTGTGTCCTGTGGTCATGCAAAAACTCCTACACCAACAATTACAAACAAGGTGTGTTGTCTCTGCTCTTTGCACTTAGTGGCAGATTAATTCCCGTGGCCCCAGGGGCAGCGGCAGGCACTTGTGCGTCTCGTGCTGTGGAGCTGGTGTCCGCAGCTGTGTGGCCACCAGGAAGAGCAGCGGGCCCCGTGAGGCGCCTGGCTCAAGGGGATCACAAGAGCCTTGTCTCGTGCAGACGGCAGTTCTCATTTTGGCCCCGCGTGCTAACGTGATGCCTCGGTTTGCTGCACTGTGAAATGGGGAGAATGCCTTTAGTTCCAGGGGAGTTGTGCAGAGTGGAGGCCACTCAGGCAGTCGCCTGGCTTACGCCTGGCCCGTTGAACACACACGCACACCACTCTCCAACACCCTGACCCCAACTCCCAGACCCTGCCCGTGAGGCCGCGTGTCTCCTGCTCCGTGACACCACCCAGCCTCCCTGACTCCCACCGTGGGCTGAGACAGCAGACTGAGCCCCAGCTGCCCGGGGCCTGCAGGAGAAAGAGGGGGGACAGAACCTGCTCCTCCTTGGTCCCCTCTCCCTGTCACTTGCCATGGACCCCTCTCCAGACTAGACAAACGCATACATTTTAGAATACAATACTCCCTCATAGAGGAAGTGTGAGAGCGCATTCTGGGCAAAGAGACACAGAGGGGTTTATAGAGTCCTGAAGATGTCAAATCTCTTAGGGTGGGATACTGCCGCCACTGCTGACCTGTTAGAATGTTCTAGAACAGTGGTCGGCAAACCGCGGCTCGCGAGCCACATGCGGCTCTTTGGCCCCTTGAGTGTGGCTCTTCCACAAAATACCATGTGCGGGGGCGCACGTACAGTGCGATTGAAACTTCGTGGCCCATGCGCAGAAGTCAGTTTTCGGCCTGGGCGAGTCTATTTTGAAGAAGTGGCATTAGAAGAAGTGGGGGTACATTTGCTGAGGTCGACCCCTCAGATTGAGGACGTTTTAGCAAAGGCCAGCTTAGGAGTACCCTAATTAAGTTAATAACAATGTATCTACCTATATCGTTTAAGTTAAAAAAATTTGGCTCTCAAAAGAAATTTCAATCGTACTGTTGCTATTTGGCTCTGCTGACGAATGAGTTTGCCGACCACTGGGCTAGAATAATGGAGTGCCTACGGAGGGAAAGCCAGGGCTCATCCTGGGTCACCTGCAGGCTCACCCCTCTGCAGGGGGGTGGGGTCAGCACCCAGGAGCAGCAATGGGGAGCAGAGTGCCCAGCAGGCGAGGTCCCCTCGCCCTGGAAGTCAGGCAGGCCAAGGGCACAAGGTTCATCTGAACGTAAGGAATCGGCTTCGCTGAGCAGCGCTCCAGCCCTGGTCTCGGCGGGAACGTGTCCAATGATGGCATAAGACTTAGGTGGGCGAGGATGGCGCCCTCTCTGTTTCTTACGAACTGAATGTTGTTCAAATGTTTAACCTTTCTGAACCTTAATCTCCTCAACCCGTAAAAATGGTGAAGACACTCCCCGCCCCAGAGCTCTCGAAAAGGAAAATGAGATCATGTACACAGATCCTGAAGTGCTGGCCTGAGACAATAAAACCGTTACTCATTTTTTAAAAAGTAGCCACGGTAGAGGCTCCATCACAGCGTCTGTGAAGCCCACAACGGAGCAGCAGGCACGACCACTGTGCCCGGCTCACGGACATGGAAAGCAAGGAGCAGGGTTGGGGCCAAGTCGTTGGCCCAAGGTCACCAAGGATGGAGTCTGGGTGTGAATGCAGCGCCCTTGCCCCCTGGGTGGGTCTAGGAGTAAGTGCCTCCTTATTAAAGACGCATGACTGGGAGCACTGCATATTTCACAAGTGTCACCTCATCTACTCCAGAAGCACCTTTTAAACATATAAGAAGCTGTGAAAAAAATACTGCTTCTTGTAAAAAGCTGTTACCTTGCGCGGACTGAGTTCCACAGCCGCATGCACAGCCTTCCCCGGAGGGTGCTTACACCAAATGTGGAGCAGCCCCGGGGCAGGAAACGCCGCTCACATATTCCTGCTTCGGGCGGACAGGGCGGACACCTCCGCGGAGCTGCGGGGCTCAGTCTAAGCCTCCTCGTCCATGCAATGGATTTAATGCAACACCTATAACGTTCAAGCACTCGAAGCCACTTCGGCCCGCCCCTGGTCTGGGAAATCACAGGGAAGGCTTGCTCTTACCTCCCTTCTTATCCCAAGAGCTCACCGCCCCATTCAGGCCTTCGCAGGGGAGGACCAGTGCACCAGGCTCTCTGGGGCACTCCCGTGGCCCCAGTTGGCGCAGAGAAGAGACAGCTTGGGGAGAAAGCAGGAGGCGCCTGTGCTCCCACCTCGCGCCGCCTCGGGAGCCAGGGCGCTCTTAGGCCCGGTTGGCCGCCTGATCCCCAGAACTAAGCGCTCAGGGAGAAGCCCTAAGGGCGCAGCGCGGTCTCCACTGCGCCCTGGGGCACGCAGCCCAGGCCAGGCCACCGGGCAGGAGCCAGGCCAGCAGGGCTGTGGGTTAGAAACGGTTGCCCTGGAGGAGGCGGGCAGCAGCAGCGCCCATGAAAGGCCAGGAAAGCAGAGGGAGCTAGGGCTCGCCTATGCCTGACCTCACCTGCGAACCCTTAGCCTCAGGTGCGGGGAATTCGCAGGAGCAGGGCCTGCTGAGGGTCCCCGCCTCCCCCAACTCCCCTGCGGATGGATTCTGCTTCCCGTGAAAGCTTCCTGCCTGCAACGGTCTCCCCAAGGGCCTGGGGAAAGGGGAACCTGAGGCTGCCCCTCTAGGGGCAATGCTATACCCTGCCCCCCAACAGACCCCAGCGCTCCCCACCCTTCCCAGAGACCTAGAAACCAAGTGTACTTTCAAACCAGAACGCCCGCCCGCCCTGGGGCGGATTCACAGCCACAGCTTCTTTTTCTTCTGGACACGTCAGAGCTGCCCCATTTTCCTTCCAAAGCTGGGCTACATGGATTTGTTTCCCGGCCTCGGCCCGGGGTCCTGGGGAGGCACGAAAAACAGCCTGTGGCCCATCTACACGGCCGTCACTTTATTGGGTTGTCACCTTTAACTTAACTATAAATACTACAGCGAACGCGAGCAAGACGCAGGTGGCTTCGGCTTCGGCCGGACTGCGGGGCTGCGAGCCGCGCTGCCCGACCCGGCGCCGGCCGCCCGGCCCTCCCGGCTCTGTACACTATTTACAGCTCCTCCTTCCTCGTTCCTCGTCCGACCCCTCCTGCAAGGCAGCGTGTGTGCAACAAAGTAGCATCGTCTGTCTGTGCAAGTCCTTCCCGTGAGGCAAGCGCCAGGCCGGCCTGCGGCCGTCAGCTGTCCGAGTCCAAATCGCTTTTACCTTCCTCTTCCCTCTTCTCCGGCGACGCCTTGGAAGACGGCTTGGTCCACTTCTCGGCGTTTTCCGACTCCTCCGACGAGGACCGCTTCTGCCGCCTCCACTTGGCCCGGCGGTTTTTAAACCAGACCTGATGCATATGGAGGACAAAACAACAGTTACCAGCAAAGGCGCGCTCGCTCCCCCAGAGCCGGGGCACCCGGACCGGAGAGCGCCCGCGACAACAAAAAGAAAGGAGACTCGCTCCCTCTGCCGCATTTCCCGTCAACTTCCTGGGCCTGAAGGGCCCTCCGCAGCCTCCCGGCCACCCCGCCGGGATACGGGATATTGCTTGGTGTGGAGAGGCCCGCGGAGCGCGGACGAGCCCGGCCGGGGCCCTAGGATCTGGGAAGGGCCTTGCAGCGCAGCGCAGGGCCCGCGCCTACCTCCACCTTCTCCTCCCGGAGGTGCACCTTCCGGGCCAGCTGCTCGCGCGTGCCCACGTCCGGGTACTTGGTCTCCTGGAAGAGGTTCTCCAGCGCTTCCAGCTGCTCGTCCGTGAAGATGGTGCGGTGCCGCCGCTTCCGCCGGCAGTGCAGCTGGTTGAGGAGCTGCAGCTCGGAGCGCGACAGCGTGCCCACGTTCATGTAGGGCAGCATCTGGTGCGGCACCGGGGACACCAGCACCGAGCCGGGGCCCTCGTAGCCTGCGAAGGAGCGGGGCGCACGGTCAGCGGCTTCCCGGCCCGGCGCGCCCGCCGCCCGCCGCCACCACTCCAACGTTCATGAAACTCCTCTACAAGGGAGTGCTGGGAAGTGGAGGTGCATGGAAATCGAGGGTTCACCCACACTCCCAAAGCCAGCCAGGGAACCCTACAAGCCTGAGTCTCCTACACAGACAGTTCCCGCCAACCCCCCATCAAGTTCGTAGCAAGTGTCAAACCCCTGCCCCGATCGGCAAAAACAGAAAATAAAATAAAATAAATAAAATAAAATAAAATAAAATAAAATAAAATAAAATAAAATAAAATAAGGGGGGAGGGGGGTCCAGGTTTGCAAGAGGAGGAAAGTTAGCGCAAAGTGGGAAAAGCCGGCGCCACCGCCCGCCCACGCCCCAGGCGGAGGCCCGAGCGCGCGACCCTACCTGGGGGCGTCGGGACGCAGGAGCACTGCTGGGCGCCCAGCGGCGGCACGGCCCCGCAGCAGGCCGGGCCCACGGGCGCCGCCTGCACGTGCAGCTGCCCGTAGAAGTAGTTGTTGTAGCCCAGGCGGGAGCCGCCGACCGCGGCCGGGAGGCCTGCGCCGCCGGGGGCCACGGGGCGCGGGTAGAAGGCGCCATAGTCCGAGGAGGCGGCGCTGCCGGCGCCGTAGAGCGAGTCCCCGTGCAGGGCCGGGAAGACGACGGGCGCGGCGGTGCTGGGAGCGACCGGCAGCACCGAGTCCTTGCAGCGCGGCCGAGCGGCCAGGATGTTGTCGATGCTGAACATGCTGGCGGGCATCCCCGAGCCCCGTGCCGGGACCGGGGGGCGGAGGGGGCGCGCGGAGGAAAAGAGCTTCCAAGTGGGGGGGTCCACGCTCCTCCGAAGCCGGACCAAACCGAAAGAGAGCGCCGGAGAGTGCGCGGCCCCGCTCCCCTCCCCGCCCCCTGCGTCCGCGCTCCCTCCTCCCGCCCTCCCCTCGCCGCTGCGCTCGCCGAACTCAACCCGCGGGTAGGACGGAGTTTAGCCCAGCTGAACCTCTTGTTGGTTTTATACCGAGTCGACGTCATCCTGGATTTAGTTCCTGGTAATATGCAGATGACAAACAGACCAGATTCGGCCCTTGCCGTTCCTTGTGGGGGGGGGGGCGGGGGGGGGGCTCGGGAGGGGGGAGGGGCAAAGGTGCCAAGGGGAGGGGGTTAGGGGGCCTGAACAGAGATTGTGGATTGCAAATTAATGAAATTAACCTAATCTTTTCCATTCAGCCGCCCCGCCGCGGGCCGGCGGAGCTGGGCGGGCGCCCTAATTGCCCCGGTTAATCTCATTAATTCCATTGTGCGGCCGGGCGCTCGGCTCCTCCGCTGACCTCTCCGCCCCCACCTTTCCCCTCGGATTGGGTCCTGTGATTGGGTGCGATTTCCTCCGCGAAAAGCTCAAATTCATTCTGGCCGATTCTACTTTGGGGCAACTTTTCTTTTTTCTTTCTTTTTCCCCCCCTTTCCGATTTTGTTTTGTTTTTTAGAAAATGTGAGGGGCAGCTTCACCTCCAGCAGGACTGCAAAGTCCGCTCTTCCCGACCCGGCACTCGCAGCCTAATCTCACCTCCGCTGCGTTTTGTCTCCCAAACGGGATTGGTTACCCGCCACCCCGAACCCTGTAGTTTTTGCAAAGTCCGACATTTGTAAAGGCACCAACGACGGGAGCGGTGCCGCGCGTCTTTACATATTCGTGTGTATGTATTTTTTGCAGCCACGTTGGGTCTGAAAAGCACCATAGCAGGCAGCCCGCAGGCCTTGCCGGGCGGAAACCGAACTCGGCCACTTTTCCGCGTGGCCATCAGAAGCAGCCTTCCGAGCCCGCTCCCAGCTGGGGACTGCGTGGGTGTCGGTAGGTTTTGCATTCTTTCTTTTCTTTTTAAAAATTATTATATTTTGGAAACGGGGTGTCTTCTCCCAAACTTTTTGTTTCAATACAAAAATGGGGCTTTGGGGGTTCCCCCTTCCCCCCACCACTGCGTCGCGCTTTTCCCCTCCGACTGGCCGGCTCCGGCCTGGCCAGGGCCCCTCGCTGTCCCTCCCGGGAAGGCCCAGGCTTGGCTCCCGGCCTCGGCGGCCCGGCCCGGTTCCGCTCGCCGCCGGCGCCCGCGTGATTTGCGGGATCCTCGCGCGGCACCGCCCGCCCACCCGCCAGAGCCTCGGGAGTCGCGTCCAGCCCACGACGGCGCGCAGGCAGCCAAGCGCCCCGCGAGAAGGTAGGCGACTGGGCGCGCGGAGCGAAAGGACACCCCGAGGTCCCCGGGCCGGCGCACGCGTCCCGCCCTCGGCCCTGCGGGGCGGCCACTCCGGCCTCGGCCGGGAAGGGAGACGCGAGGGCCGAGAGGTGGGGGCGCTGGGGGTCCCGCGGGAGGGCAGCCTCCAGCTCACGCCCGTTGCTCCCCGTTTCTCGCGGGTTGGCTGAGGGGGTCCACGGGGCTGCCGGAGGTCGCCGCACAAGGTCTGAGAACGTGGGCCGCCGCCTGGGCGCCGGGGCGAGGGGAAAGGCCGCTGGTCCGTGGCGGTTCCCGGTCGGAGCCCAAACGGAGAAGCCGGGCGGCGGCGCTCCTCCCGGGCCGCCCCGCACAGCACGCGCCCCCGCCCGCGTCCGCGCCCGCGCCCGCCGGGGCCTGAGCGCCGAGCAGAGGGGAAGCGGTGGGCGGTGGCGACGAGGCGGGAGGAGCCGGTCTCCGCGGGGAGGCGACGGGACTTTTACAGTAAAAGCTGCTCCCAGAGCCAGGAGCGGGGTCCTGCCCTTCGGAGGGGACAGGTCGAGGGAAGCGGTGCAGCGCCTCCCCCTCCTACCGCCGAGGCCGGGCCTTTCCCCTTTCCCGGAGACTCCACGCCGCGGCCCTGGGCACACACCGTCCCCAGCCGCCCCGTGCCATCGCTGGGAGAAGGCTCGGGGCTGCGCTTCCGCGGCGAAGCTCACGGGTGTGGGGCGCGTGGCCGGCGCGCGGCGGGGGCGCGTGAGGGGCCCTTTCAGATCCTCGCGGAGCCGCCCCAGGCAGCAGCGCCGCGGGAAAGGGCCGAGTCCGTGCGGGTGTCGCCGCGGTGCGCAGTGTAAGGCGCCCGCGTTTCTCCTCCCCGCGCCCTCCCCTTGGCGCACCGGGGCTCCTGCTACGCCTCAGAGTTAGACTTCGCCTGGCTTTCCTGGGTCCCCCACTCACCCACGACTCTCGGGTGAGAAGGGCACTGTGCCGCCAGCCTGACGCGGCCACTTTTGCCAACCACCCTTCCCTCTAGGCCTCGGGGTTTCCAGTGGATAGAACCACGGCCACACTCACGGGGTCGCTTACCGCCCTGACATTAAAGAGGCTGCCGCATTGTGACTCCTTCCCGCGGGGGTGACTTAGGGGCATTTTATTTTATTTTTTTATTTTTTAGTGCCTTTCCTTGGGACAAAGAAGTGTGCTATCACCACCTCCCCAACCCCCCTCCAAGGATGTCAGCTGGGTCCAAGAAAAGGAAAATCATTCCCAAGGTCTGCCCGCCTGCAGAGGGGCTTCCCGAGAGAGGACGCAGGGACCCCGAGGCCAGCTACTCTTATCCCACCGGCTCTCCCGGGGCAGCGGGCCTGCCCCGCCACATCGCCCCTCTATCTGCAGGCGGTGGCGGGTCCGCAGGAAGGCAGGAGCCGGGAAGGTTGGCAGGGGCCCTTCGACTGCCTCCTCCGCCGAAACCCACAAGTGTCCGCTGCACCGAACCGACAATCAGCGGCCTCGCGCCTCCCTGTTCAGCTGGAATGACAAATGCGTGGCACGCAAATTGCCCACCCCGTGTGGCTGCGCGATTGTTTGTCGGGCCGCAGGCACCGCTCAGCAGGGAGGACCCGGAGTGGCCGAGGCGGCTGGCGAGCGCGGAGGGCGGAGAGGCGGTAAACACGCTGCTGATTTCCCCCATTATCACCCAAACACGATTTCACACGAAGCAATCACCACGCAGAAGTCGAGGAAAATGTGTTTGCTGAGGAGTCCGGCGCTCCGGTAATAGCCCTCATTTTTAAGATATTAAAGGATGGATCAGCGGATTCGACACGCATAAGGTGTGTTTGCGGCTCCGGCTTCCACGCCGCAGTCACCGCTACATTGATTCCTCAGCACAGATGACATTGTTTCTCCGATGTAACACCGCGCCCAAGTTCGGAGCCGCCTGGGCGTCTCCTGCGCAGATGTTTCCATCGCGGAGAAAGCTGTCGCCCACTATCCTTGCGCGCGAACTAGCACCCGCGGCTGTTAAAAGCAAACAAACAATAAAAGCATGAAGCATCGGGGCCCCAACTTCTTAGGGTTTCAGGAACTTTCTTTTCTTAATTCTTTCAGCCTCTCGCCCGGCGACAGAGCAGAGCGCATAATGGGGGCGTTTCAGTGGGGTTTTTCGTGTCACGTGCAGAACGTGGCCTGTGCTTTTCAAAGGTGCAGAGCCCCCTTGCAGAGCCAGTTAATGGGGGCAAAGCACAGAGCGGCTTCAGCCTGTGGGCAGCACCCAGGCCCCGCCTGGGATTCACAGCAATGCCATTGTATTGGGGCTTAAAAAAATCCATTGTCTCAAACCAGTGCTTAAAACCTGCCCCGGGCCCTGCTGCTCCCGGAGCACATCTCCAGTAGCCTCGGGAATTTGGGAATTTGCCCCGGGAGGTTAGGCGTGTGCAGTAGAACCAGAGGCACAAACACCACCCAACTGCTCCGCACACAGGGGCCGGGGCCTCTACACTGGCGATAGAGACCCTCTTTTGCAACCTTCCAAATGATCGCGCTGAGCCCCTGAGGACGAAATAATCAAGGTGTTAGGAAAACTCAGCATAACACTGGGGGTAAAGAAGAGGGTGTCGAAAAATGACGTGTTCCCAAAGCATCAGAAAAAAAAAAAGTATAGTTTCCAGGGTTGCAAAAACCGGCTTTCCACGGCGGAGCTATTTACTCAAGTTTATTTCCTAAGTGACTGCCTGTTGCTTTTGCAAATCACAGAATGCAAATGACGATAATTTGTTCTCGGCGGGGCTTTCTCTTGAAATGATTAGCAAAGTCAGTCATTTGAAAATTGGAGCTAACGCACCGCCGGTTCCGAAGCCCCTTGCTAATCGATATCAGCTTCTAAAGTTTTCATTCATGTAAACCTCATTAATGAAGATCTTTTATTTAAACGTCAAGGGGATTTGAAATTTAGAGTAAATTATGAAGCTTGTATGTCTAGCCAATTCATGGGTCAAATGCATTTGTAAAAACTGCTAAAAGAGCATATGGTTTTGAATTTTTCTACAATGACTAGTGTTTAAATAAATTGCTTGTACTGCTTAACTTCATGTGTAATTTTGACAGAAATTGGCCTATAGCCTTTTGATATGTAAACATTTCAGCCTTTTATGCGGCATAAAAAAGACACGTGCTTTTGAGGACCAGCTCGGGCGGTCACCCTGTAATTCAGAGGGCTGGCGAGTACCATTACATTCTTGCGAGATTTCAACTTTCAAGTGGCAGCCTCGGGGAGAAAAAAAAAGAAAGAAAGAAAGAGGATATTTCAAACGCAATGTCCATTTGAGATGAAAAGCTGCAAATGAGGTGAGAACGTGCCACTTAGCTATCTGAAAGCAATGGGTAAACCATAGTTATTAAATAACATTTTCTGTCATTTTTCTTTAAGCCAGCCCTTCGAGGGGATACTTAAGCAGGGCCCGGACTGACTAGCATGTCATTAAATGCTCGTCTTAGCACCCAGCCGATCAGTCCAACATACAAATAGGTGTTAAAAACTCGGTATCACTTCAGGTTGTTCCCGGCGAAATGGCTCCGTGTCACCGAACCCATTAA